GGCTTGATGTCGGGGAAAAAAAAAATAACAAACTCCCCAAATAATTTGTGCTTGATGGAAAGTGGAACAGGCTGCCTAGCAGCCATGAGCAGAGGCTGGGTGACCACTCGTTGGGTATAGTATGGGAGGAATTTGGAGAGGGAGTTACCTGCTAAAATAGAAAGTCTCCAACTCCAAGGTTCAGTGGTTCCTAAAATGTCAAGTCTTACATTGGACACAATCACCAGATATGATCCAATCAGGATAGAGTATGGTTATAACCTCCCTTGCTCTGCATACCATGTTTCTGGTAATGCAGCTCAAATAAAATCCCATCACTATTTTTTTGAGGTCATCAGGGTTAAGTGACTTGCCCAGGGTCACACAGCTAATAAGTGTCTGAGGCTGCATTTGAACTCAGGTCCTCTTGAGTCCAGGGCTAGTGCTCTATCCACTGCACCACCTAGCAGCCCCAATATTCTATTAGCTGTTTCAGCTACCAGGTGTTGAATCCTATGGAGCCAGCAGTCTGCTAATGTTTTGAGGACTTTTGCCCTTTTCACATCCTGTACACAGGCAGTTGAGGTTTTGAACCCAAGTATAGGACTTTACATTTACACAAAATACTTCAAGGCAGCTGTGATTTCATTGATTTGGTTGTTTCCTCCAAGGATACAAATCAATCAATCAATAAACATTTTGTAAGCACCCACATTCTACCTGGTGCTAGGGATACAAAAGACAAAAAAATGAAACAATCCCTCCCCTCAAGGAGCTTATGTTCTAGTCAGGGAGATTTCATTCATCTATATCTATAATCCAAATTATATATTCACACATGTATATACAAGTATGTAATCCAAGACAGAGGTATCAGGAAGAATTGTTCAGAAGGTGATCCTGGAAGGAAGCAAGGGACTCTGTGAGGCACAAGGGAGGTACAAGTGCATTCTAGGCTATTCATGGAGTTCAGACATGAAGTGTTATTTGGGAGGACAAAGAGAAGGCTAGTTTAGCTGGATCATAGAATATAGCAAGTAGGAGAGATGAGTTTGGAAAGACTGGTTGAGACCAGATTGTGAGGGGCTTTAAAAATCAAACAGAGGAGTTTCTATTTGGCACAGTGGACAGTGCCAGGCCTGCAATCAGAAAGACTCCTCTTCCAGGGTTCAAATCCAGCCTCAGACTCTTACTAGCTCTGTGACCGTGGGCAAGTCACTTGACCCTGGTTGCCTCAGTTTCCTCATCTGTACAAAGAGCTGGAGAAGAAAATGGCAAACCACTCCAGTATCTCTACCAAGAAAACCCTAAATGGAGTGACAAAGAGTAGGATACAACTGAAAACTTGAGCAATATAAGAGACAGTAGGTAGGCAACGGAATTTGGTTAGGTGACATAGCCAGATCTATGCTTAAGAAAAATCGCTCTGGCAGCTATGTGGAAGATGAATTGCAGTGGGGAACAGCCAGAGGCAGGCCGACCAAAAGAAGGCCTGAAAGTTGAGGTGAAACATTTATCCCTGTTAAATTACATCTTATTTTAGTGTATTGTTTGCTGCTTTGATTTTTTAGATTCTGACAAAGTCATCCCCTATGCTAGTTATATATGCCCTTCAACTATATATAATTTGCAAATCTGGATAAGCATGCCATTGACATTTTCATCCATGTGATGACCTCTATTTCTTTTCCCAATTTTCCAATTCTCTCCCTCCCTCTACCCTTCCCCCTTCCATTGAGAAAATAAGAAATTATATTACAGATATTATACATTATATATTATACATATAATATATATATTATATACCCATTATACATACGAAGATTGACATCAATTCTCTCTCACCTTTCTCTAGGTCTAGCAATTCAATTAGTCCCTAAATGGATCTAACTATTTCTTCAGCCCACATTTCTTCAGCTTCTCTACGAGGATATCATGAAATATTGTCAGATGCCTCTATAACCCTGTCAAAAGAAGGGAAATGAGCTAGTTTAGCATTTCTTGCTCTTGATAAACCCACGTTGGCTTGTAATGATCAATGCTTCCCTTCTAAGAAGTGTCCATCCTATGTGGACAAAAATATTTATAGTGGCTCTTTTCTGGGGGCAAAGGATTAGAAATTGAGGGGAAGTCCATCAATTGGAGATTGGCTGAACAAGTTATAGCATGCGATTATGATGAAACACTATTGTACTGTAAGAAATGATGAACAGGGTGATCTCAGAAAAACCTGAAAGACTTGCATGGGCTGATACAAAGTGAAATGTACTGTGTACAAAGTAACAGCAGTACTGTAAGATGATCAGCTGTGAATGACTTGGCTATTCTCAGCAATACAATGATCCAAGACAACTCTGGACTTACGATGGAAAATGCTATCCATCCCCAGAGAAACAACTGATGGTGTCTGAATATAGATTGCAGCATACTTTTTTAACTTTATTTTTTTTAGGTTTTTTTTTTGGTCTATGTTTTCTTTCACAACATGACTAATATGGAAATGTTTTTGCATGATGACACATGTATAACTGTATCAAATTGCTTGCCTTCTCAATGAGGGGGGTGGGGAGGGAGGAAGGGAGAGAATTTGGAACTCAAAGTTTTAAAAATGGAATGTTAAAAATTGTTTTCACATATACGAAATAAAAACAAGTAAAGCAAAAACAAGAAGTGTCCACAAACTATCTCTTTAATAATGTATTGTAGGAATTTGTCAAAGATTGTCATTGGCTTATAGTTTGAAGAATTCTATTTTTTGTTCTTTTTTTTTGGGGGGGGAGTATATGTGTATGTGCAGTATGTGTAGAAGTGAGGCCTTTTCTTTTTTTTTCCATAATGAGTTTGGAGGACTGGTGTTTTTTTTACCCTCTGAGATCTAGCATTGCTTGCTTACCGAGGTGGATATAATTTTTTTAAATTCCTAATTTATTTTGAATTATCAACAATCACTTTCACAAGCTTTGGAGTTTTAAATTTTTCTCCCTTTCTCTCCCTGCCTCCCTCCCCAAGGCAGCGTGCAATCTGATATAGGCTATACATATATATTCCTTTAAACATATTTTCACATTAGTGATGTCGTATGTAAGAATTAGAACCAATAGGAGGAACCACGAGGTGGATATAATTTGCAATGAACAGATTTCTGCCAATATCCTAATGCCCCTAGTAGGTGTATGAAGCTTCTGTCTGCTAGAAGGTCTCTTGGAGAAATCCAATTGCCAGACACTTCTCCCTTCTTCCTTTCTTTTTTCCTTCCTGGTCAGACACTTGTCTTACCTCTTTGGTGCGCTACTTTCTTCTTTTCTGGATTTGATCATCAAAATACACTGTACTGGACAACAAGCAAGTGCCTATTTTTGGAACTGAACTGAATTGTTCGATGGTGAAGGGGGAATTAAGATGGAATAGCTGGGACTCTCCCAGGTCCTTTGCTGCTGAGCTATATGTTTTAAAATTTAGTGGTTTTATTGCTACCAAACCATTTTTACCAAATAGGACCATGTCCCTATAGATAAGATGTTATGCAAAACATGAATTGGGAACAAGTCAGAATGTTTATTCTTTGGGTGCCTCCAGGGTGGCATATCACCAAGACCCTGAAAAACAGAAACTCGTACTGTGAACTAACAGTGTGGTAGTTAGAGTCAAGACAGGGCATTCCTGCTTTTGGTAGGGTGTGAAAAGGAGAAGTAAATTGTTGCCTAAAGGACTTGCTAACTCTCATCAATGGGCCAGCAAGGTGGCTCAGTAGATAGAACTGGGGCCTAGGGTCAGGAGGACCTGAGTTCAAATCCAGATGCAGACACTAGCTGTGTGACCCTGGGCAAGTCACTTAACCCTGTTTGCCTCAGTTTCCTTCTCTGTAAAATGAGCTAAAGAAGGAAATGGCAAAGCACTCCAGTATTTTTGCCAAGAAAACCTCAAAGGGCCACAAAGAGTTGGACATGACTGAAAATGACTGAAGAACAACAATACATAGTACATTTGAGATAATCATTACAGGGAAGGCTCTAGCATCAGAGCGGTTCAAGACAGATGCCCTGCAGAAAGGTGGGATTTTAGTTAGAACTTGAAGGAAGCTGGGGAAGCCCAGAGGGGGAGATAAGATGGAAGAGCATTCTAGGCTTGGGGCACAGTGGGCAAAAATGGATGGATTCAGATGGCATTATACAGGTATAAAATATTCCCATTAAAATTCATCCATACCACATGCGAACCCCAACCTCTGCACTCTCAAACAAAAAAGTAAGACAACATAAAGAAAATCCAATTTTAAGTTAAAAAAAAATTCCAATGAGCAGTATTTTCAGGGATCATTTTTATTATAAACTTAATATGGCTGATTAATGAAAAAATCACAATGAAGTACCAATAAAATGTCTGTCAATATCAAAAATTTAGCAGCATTTCAATAGTTCCTAAACATTAGTCAAGCTTTCTCCCTCCCTCACACCTACAAAAAACAACAGCTGAAGGACAGGGTAGGGTCCTGGTTTGATCAGCTCCTGTCCTCCAATATATGCCTTAAGCCAATGTACATTCTGATCAGTGACTGTTTTGACTAAAATCAAAACCAGAATTTCCTTCTTGAATTGGTAACTGAATAGTCAGTTCTCTAATGTCCCATCATAGCATATATAACACTTATTTCAAAGTCTGTGACTGGAGTTTCTTTGATGAGCTCATACGGGTAGGGAGAAGGGTTAGGGGGACCATTTGAAGTGCAGACCTGATCCTGCACCCTTTTATCACATTTCCTTAAAATTGTATGTTCTCTCTAATAAGCCACAGAACTCTAGAACACTCAAGAGCTTCCTGTTATGTGGTATACGGGCAAGGAAGGGGGAGAAGGGAAGGGAAGGTAGCGAGATCATCGATGCTGCATGGGAATGATGGGTACATCAGTCATGACAAACTACTTTGGGGCAGGGTCAAACATGATTGGTCTTGCCACATCCCGGTTTAAAATAGTGGAAACAAGGAAGGAGATAAATACAGTGTGAAAATGTAATACTGGCGAAATACTCCCCTGCTTCTTTGGTACTCTCTAAAACTCTCTGATCCAAAATGTATAAGGGAAATGCACCATTAAAAAGTTACAGTTTTAAGTATTTACAAAAGCAATTACAATATATTACACAATAATCAATACAGTATATGGACAAATTATGCATGAAAGCACTTGTGAACTTTTGTTCCAGTATCATTTCCATAGCACAGAGACCATTACAGACCTACATACAGTGTTTTCAAATGTGTGTTATATAGCCTGTACCTCATTTATCTTACAAACGGGGGAAAAAAGCATTTCCCAATCTACAATTGCCTTGAAAAGGCTTTTTAAAACCGCCACAGAAATAACTATATACAGATTTATTGGATAATTCTAGACAATCCTCTCCACCCCAACTCTGAATATATTTGCAGTAGTAGTGCTTCCTACTCTATGTAGATAGTATGTATTTAATATATAAGTAACAGCATCACGTGTTATATCACCAATTGAGCACACGTTTTTATAGACAGTAGTTAAGTTAGATGACGGAAGCTGGGGTCCTGCCGCTTGGGCGGATAGTGTAGTGACTGGGGTCACTGTCTGTACTCCGGGATACAGTGAAGCTGGTGGCTTAGAGCGAGCATGTATGTGCGTGCCATAGACGTGTGTGCCATGTGTGTGCCAGGAAGAGCCAGCCACACTGTGTCACACCCATACACACACTGGACTCTCCCTTTACTGATGTATGTGTTTATATCTTGGTGCCCCTTCACACATATGGCAGGATGCCATACATTAAGATGGCCATCACCGCGGCGCTGAATAAACCAGCCACTGGGACAGTCACAAACCAGGCCACAAAGATGTTCCGGAAGAGATGCCAGTCGACGGCCTTTCGTGAACGGATCCAGCCCACTGCTACCACGGAGCCGACCTGGAGGGATGTGAGTGTTTACAAGTGAAAACATGGTCTGGCAAAGCAAGAAAAGGGTTTTACAATCAACTAATGCCAGCTTGCTGATACCGTGGCTGACCTGAGAGATGAACAAGTCCCAGGACAACGGGTGAAATTATTCCTTCAGCTTACCACTGCCCATGTCTCTAAGCTGGGCACCAGTTGGCAGTCCCGTCTGCTCCCTTGCCACTGTTTGGATCCAGGGGAGTTTAAGTAATTAAATGTTTCCTATTATAAAGTCAATGCAATGTGAAAACCAAAGAAAACATCTTTGTTTGAAGTCCTTACAGGTCTGATCAGGTGTCCCTTTCCCCTCCACAGGATCCTGCCCATTGTAACATCTGCATTTTTAGGCAAGCATACTATTTACTTAAGTCCCTTCCATATATTTGGTAACAATTCTGAAGTAAAACACTCATTGACACAAACATTGCCATTATGTGAGGCATGACTGCCAATTTCTGCATCTCCTACTAGAGACACATGGACATTATAAATCCCCAAATGCCTTAGCTATCTTCTAAACACCTGCTTCTGATTTTCTAGTGGTTTAGGGGTTGAATTTTAACAAGCAAACTTTGCTTCGGGGTCTCTGGACACAGTCATAAAGTGGAAAAATATGAAATTATTAAAAAGCAATGTTATTGAAGAACACAACTAACCCATGACTTAGAATGGGTCTCGACCTTCAAAGACAGCCCCAAACGACAGGCTACTTGAATAGCACCATGGCACACTGCGATGCCTCCCTAAAGCATACCTGGGCTCTGCTGATTGCCTAAATCAAACTGAGTGCCAGTAAAGGCATACTAGCTAATCATCCAGATGATAACACTCAGAATAGGAAGGGCTGTTGTGATGTTGCCAGAATCTAAAGACCAGATGTACCTACATGAAGGGAAACACTTAGAATTTTATCTGGATACAAGTGATGGAGACAACTGTGGTCCGTTGAAAGAGAGCTAAGCCAGTGTTCTACCCACTGTAAACTGTGATTAACCTCTGCTTCTGCACGTCTTCAGCCGTGGTAGTGTCACATAAAGTCCACTTCCTCTTTGGAAGACAGAGTCCAAGGGTTTTTGATGACTCAATTATCTTTCACCTTCAGTTTCCTTATCTGTAAAAGGGGGACAGCTGGATTTGCCTACCTCCTAGGATTGTTGTGAGGATGAAATAATGAGGTGCCATGCTTAGGATTTATAAATGAACGTTTTTATCCCCTATCATTAACAACTGATTTTCGTAATGGTGACCCTGACACTGCAGAATCTCAAGGGCTGCCTCATGGTCAGTGTCACGTCAGCATTAGCGACACAGACTTAGAGATGGAAGGTCAGTGGAGGTCATCTAGCCCAGCCACCCCATTTGGCACAGATATCATGGGGCAGAGCTGGGATTCAAATCCAAGTCTTCTGACTGGCTCCAGCAGCCTTTCCATTGTACCCCATGAATGTCATATGCACTGATAACTGAGATTCTGATGAACTCTGATGAACCTATTCTTGGACTGTCAATTGTTTTTCAGTTGTGTCTGACTCTCTGTGACCCCATTTGGGGTTTTCTTGGCAAAGATACTGGAGTGGTTTGCCATTTCCTTCTCCAGGTAATTTTACAGATGAGGAAACTGAGGCAAACAGGATTAGTGACCTGACCAGGGTCACAAACCTAGGAAGTGTCTGAGGCCAGATTTGAACTCAGGAACATGACTCTTCCTGACTGCAGGCCTGGAGTCCTATCCACTGCCTGTTTCTGGACTACAGAAGGGATTACGGTAATTTTTTTTTTAAATTTCCCATTTGTGGAGAATAGTTTGAGAGGTCCCCCCTAGTATAATACTTTCAGTTTTTCAGTGCAAACAGTAAAGAAAGCCTCAAAGTAGGTAGGAATGGGAATGGGCGGCTGGGCCTTGGGGCGGAAGGCAGTCTGAATTCTGAACCCTCCCACCAGGGGGGTTTCCTGCATATGTTCCATACCGATTGTTCTCTCCAGTAAATGAGAAATCACACTTTACCCTTAATTGGGAAGTTATAAAGGGATAAACAGAGAACAAGGTCTCTACCCAGGAGGAAAAATCACAATAGTGATTCTTCCCTTAATCAAAACTCAAATTCTTTAGCAGGATCAAATATTTTCCATTTGTCTGCCCAGTTTCTGGGTTAATTTGAATGCGCTTTCTCGGCAAACCCCACCAGCAGGGGAAAAGAACCTCAGCTAATTAATGAACTGAGAACATTCTAACCGTGGCTTTTGAAATTCCCTACACCTGGCAAACAACTCTTTTCCAGTAACACTAATTCTTCTGCTGGCTCTGTTCTACAGGTGAAGTGGGATTCTCTGTAATCACTCAGTGAATCTTGAGGAGGAAGCGCTGGGGTGCAGAGAGAGAGAAGGGGGGAGCCTAAGGAGCAGAAGAGCTGGGATCTGGTGCTAATGATACACACTGGCTGCGCATCCCTGGCCAGGGGATGTCTGTGTTTTCACTGGAAGAGTATAGAAAACACGGGTCTGGGACAAAAAAGGGGGGATGGGGTAGAGTTTCAGTGGACAGTGTGCTGGTCACGGCATCAGGAAGACCAGAATCTAATTCCTGCCTCAGACACTTCTTGGTTGTGTGATGCTGGGCAAGTCACTAAACCTCCTTCTCCGTCAGGTATAAAATGAGTACCTCTCTCCTATAAAATAGCCCCTACCTCCCGGGGTTATTGAGATGAAATGGGCTCGTGAACATGAAGTGCTTTGCCAACTGGAAAGTGCTCTATAAACACTAGTGAAGGGCATTATTATTACTTTTATGAAGAAAACCTACGTAACTCTGGGCTGGAACTTCTACGTGCCTCAGGTAGGTCAGAGAGGACTTATCCGCTCAGTCACAGTAGGGTCATGCAGAATGGAAAACCAAATCAAATAGCTTCCTTTCAATCATCCAGACTGGCTGTCTGGAGTCAAGACTACTCCAGCTGAGAGATGCCTCGTGCTGTTCTGAACAATCCACACTCATAATGGAGACAAGAACTCACATAGTGCTTTAGGGTTTATAAAATACGTTCCTTTACACAGCTGTCAGATGAGAAATACAAACAGTGGATAATCCAAAATCTGCACCGTCTGGAAGTAATTGGGTCTAAATTTGTATCAGAGAGCTCACAAACATAGTAGCTGTGACCACATCATTAGTCAGCTATCTAAAGAAAGGATCATTAGCAAATCAGTGAACTTTGCTTCTGTGAACATTTCTATTTTCAAGGCTAACTGCCTGTTTAAAATTTTCCTGCTTTGATCAGAGGTAAACTGATGTGTCTGATGGGCTTAGCTCCTTGGTAATGAGATGCATAATTTTAAAAATGTGAAAAGCAGGAAGTTAACAGACAAGGGTTCAAGTCCTGCCTGTCAGACTGTAAACTCCTTGAGGGCAGGAAATGGCTTTGGCCACTTTCTGTGACCCTAGAGCTTAGTACAGTTCCTGGGGCACACAGGAGCAGCTGAATAAATGTTTACTGATTGACCAATTGCCTCTGCCACTAACTGGAAGTGTGACCATGGGCAAATCACGTCCCCCTGACCCTGTACCTAGTTTCCTGACCAATAAAAACTGGAGGGTTACACTAGGTGACCTCTCTAAGCTGACCGTGTGGGAGAACCCACACAGTAACGAGTGGCTATTTGCTAGTGGCCACCAGGAACTCTCACAGACACAGCTACGTGAAGAAGAGAACACACTTAGCAACCTGGCTGGGGGACTGGACCTGGGGTAAGGCTTGTCGTGAGGAACAGTGTGTGTTGTAAATGCCTGCAAACCTTAAATGGCGGTGTAAAAGGCAGTTTAAATGATTATTATTTTTACTGTCTTTTATCCTTTGGTGCACATTTTGCCATCTGTAGAGTAGGGAGAAGCTGCACCGACACTGAGGAGAGCCGGCACCTGGGTGTCCTTTTCTAGCTCTCCAGGTCTTGATTTTCTGTGGCAAAGGAGAAGAGTGTGCCTGAATGGAATACATTGATAATTCCAAAAGCTCATTTTCATTCTTCACTGCAATCTTCTCTCTGAAAAATCTTTGCAAGCAGCTGCAAAGAGCAATGGTAACACCTGGTGCCCTGCCCTGAGTTTCACCGCCTCGTCCCACCAGCATCAACCACATTCTAACGTGATGCTCCAATGAGATAATGTATGTAAAGGGCTTTGTAGACGTTCAAAAAACAGGGGTAGGGAACATGTGGCCCTCTAGGTCCTCAAGTGCCCTCTTTGACTGAATCCAAACTTCACAGAACAAATCCCCTTAACAAAAGACTTGTTCTGAGGACTCGGTCAAAAGGCCACACCTGAGGACCTAGAGTTCTCCACCCTTCCCCTATGGTGTCAGCTAATAATAAAGATAAGCACCTTGACAAAAGTGATAGGGAATTAGTGACAACTAGCTGGAGATATGAATAATAAAACCCCACCTTCCTACCCTTTTCCTGGTCTGCCCAGTGCCTGACCATGTGTGGTATGTAGTAGATGCCCACCCTGTGTGCATGTTTCTGCTTTACCAATGCTAGTGCTGAAGCTCCTGAGAGGGAGAGACTTAACACAAATCATACAGCTAGCCAGTGTCTAGGCCAGGATCTGAACCCAGGCCAGGCACTGCGACTTCCAACTGTCAGGCTCCTTCCCCTACACCATGTCTGCTATTTTCTCAAACAACATGTGTAGAACCATCTCTACACAACCATTTAGGACAAACCAGAAAAACTCTCAAGGAGGTTTCATTATCATTTATGATTTACAATGTGCCATCAGAAACAGCTAACTGCTTTGGGATTCATGATTTTGCTTCCATAGGGCCTGATTCTTCATTCCATCCTCCACTCTCACATATTTCAGCCCACATGTTCCTCTCAGGGTTCTAGGCATGCAGAAGAAATATGTGGTGGATGCCATCTGACTTAGGGAGTGACTGGACACTGTCAATCTATGCCTGAAGCTCTGACTCACAGGCATATTTTATGTAGCAGAGTCCTTTCTCATTCAAAGGTAAGGATGGTACCGACTCATCATCCAGGAATGTCTCTTGACATTTTTCTTTGGAGGGCGGACGGCAGATCTGCTTTCCCTATTTCCTTGCCCACAAATGGTGCCAAGAGAAGCTGACTCCTTCTTCTTCTTCCCTTCCAACCCCATCCCTGGCAGTACCCAAAATGAAAGCTCTTGGGTCACACCCAGGAACACGGGCACTTCTTCATTAGCAGGAGCATTCTGAACCACGTGATGAACTTTTCTCATAGGCCTCCTTTGAGCTGGATTAAGAAATTCTTGGGAGATACTTGAGAAATTTGGGAGTACTCACATTACTGGTAATAATTAAACCATATATCATAAGGCAAACAATGCCTCTCTTTCTAAATTTTGATGCTACAGGAACATAGTAAAACTATGAAACATGAGTTTGTGTCTGAAGGCTGCTTCATTTCATTGCTCCCCTTGGGGCTGTCTTGCCCTCCTGCCTGTGGTCCCTGCCCCCATTCCCCAATAGGAAGGCACAAGTCCCCCAGGGGTGCACTTTTGTAGGACCTCACTCTCTCTCAAGTTATTTTACACCCCTAAGGTTATCTTTGTATGTGTTTTGTATAGATCCATGTGGGGGATGATAGGGGATCTCCCCACTCCCACCTCCATCTGCTGGACATGCAGGGGTTCTGGTTTTCATGGGGAAAGGTGTTCTGGTTCTCTAAACACACATACGATATCTCTATAGACTCGCAGTCTCTCCATGAGAATGTAAATTCCATTAGGTAAAGTACTGTTTCTTTTCTGTTTTTGTATTCCCTGGGAAGTGCACTTAGTAAATGTTTGACTGATAAAAATTTAAATTAAAATTTCCTTTCCAGATTATGTTTTCTAAGGGCTTACATTCATTAGTCAGATTATTCCTCGTAGGTGACAGAATGTCTTAACCCACACTACTAATGGTAGGCATTTCAGGAACAGCGGAAGGCTAATATGAAAAATAAATATTTGGTCTCCAGGAACAGTTCTCAAGTGTAGGTCTAATGATGCTTTAGTACTTAAAAAAAAAAAAAAAGGGAAAACCTGTGATTCCACCGGCATGAGTACTCCATGACTTACTGCTTTTTTCCCCCCACAAATTTCTCTGTCCAAAACTATTCATGCCCTGTTGGCCACTCTTCTGCTGACCTTTCTCCCTGCGCTGGTCACTGGTTGGCAGGCACACAGTCCATCACTGGGGCCACCCTGAAAGGCTTTCTAGCCTGGTACACTTGGCAGAGTTTCTCACACCTTGGCAGAAGTGGTCAGGCTCACCTCCAGCAGAACAGGAATTTAAGGGAGGGGTCTACAGAGTGAGTTAATCATAATATAACGTTTCAGAAGCAAAGAGAATTGCTTCTTTATTGAAGCCTGAACACCTAATTAGGTTTTCTAGGCACTGCTCTACCATGATTTATATACTAATATGAATCTGATATTCATATTCTTCTAGCTCTGGAGTTCTCATCTTGTGTCACAGATACCCTTTTGGCAGTCAGTCTGATGAAGTCCTTATCAAAACAAAATTTTTATAGGCATAAAATAAAACACATACAGTTGCAAAGGAAACCAATTATACTAAAATACAGTTACCAAAAAAATTTTTTCCAAAAAAGTCACAGGCTCCATATGGTTCCAAGACAACCATTACTTTCTAAAACATCCTTCATTTCTGATACGCTTATGGCTGGGGAAATGCTGAGATGTTTATGTAGGTAAGAGGAATCGGCACCTACTATACAGACGATGTTTGAAGGATATTTTAAAATAAAATAGCTTATACACTTGTTACTGGTTGTCCCAAATCTAGCTGAGGTTTACAAATCTCAGGACAAATTCTTTATCTATATTAAACCTAAATATATTATTCTAGCATAAATACATTGCTAATAGCTCCTTTTCATTACCATTGAAGTTCACTGACTGACTTGTAGAAAATTATACTTTAAGACAAAATGTTGGAGTTTGTTATTCATATGTAGGTTGTATATTTTAGTTTCTAAGTAGTTTACATCTGGGATACTGGTGGTATCAGCAAGATTGGCATTACTTATTATTAAATCCTGTTGTAGGATTTAATTATTATATTAAAAACAATATAACAAGTTAGTTTGTTAATAAACATTCTGATGAATGAAAAGTTAGGAAAGCAGTTAGCAAACTAGAGAAACTAAAGAAATAATCTGCAATATTTCTTCAAGAGATTTCTTTAGTTGCTTTGAAACAGTTTGATTTCATTAGGATTGCTCCTTATATAGCGTCTATGTTCATTCATAAGCCAATAATACTTCCCTCCTCTCCAACCCGTTAAAAAAAGTATTTTTTAGGAAAGGAATGTAGTTGGTAACATGCACTTCTAACACACATTAAGATACAATTTTTAAAAGCCCAACAGTTATTTGTGACCCACAGCTGGTTTGGAAAGGCCAGCCTTTCCTTAACTATCCATGTGAACCTGGCTGTGTCACTGCTCTGGGCCTCACTTTCTCATCTGTAAAATGAAGTGTTGGTCCAGAAGATCTCAAATGTTCTAAGTCCTATGATCCTAGAGCTGAAAAAATGTTCACTTCTAATGACAGGGACAGAATGATTCCCTCTAAAGGGTATTTTAAAAAATCACTCCCCCCTCACCCCCCTTAAGCTAGGGAGGAATTTCTATACTTTATGGTGAAAAAAAAATCCTCTCCCTACTGCTGCTTAATCTTTTATACACCAAGTGAGGGTCCTAGGTTAGTCTTAAATATTAATTATGACCAATTTAGAACCTTCCCTCAGCAACGCTATGTAATTTTATTAGAAAATCACTTCTAGTCCATTCTCTTTAGATGGAGCCCACAGCATCTGTAGGTGAATTCAGAAGCATCTAGGATAATTGGGAAGTATTTTTTAATTTGTGGAGTCTGAATAATAATGGTGGGCATTTCTGGATGTATCCCAATGTGTTTGGCATTTTCTTGGTAACCCCTTCATTTATCTACTATGACAGGAATTATCCTTTGCGTTCTTTTGAGTAAGAAGCTCACTCACATCTAGGTAAATAGAGATCATGGAGTGCAATTATCATCATCCTCATTTCCTACAGAAGAGGAGACTGAGGTTCAAGGGGCATGTCTTGCCCAGAGTCATAAGGTTAGTGTTGGTGCCAGGTTCTGAACCCAGCACTGCTGACTCCAAGACCAATGGTCTTTCCCACTACCCCACACTGCTGGTGGTCAACTTCATAACTAACTTGTAAACCGGAAGTGACCATAAGACATGGTGGTCCCTTTGAGGGCTACCTAAAGAAAGCAAACTGAAACAACTGTTTATTTCAATTTCATTTGGATGATTGATTTTAGCTCAATTTCCTCTATCAACTCCCAATACCTTGCAGTGAGTGGAGCTGATTGGAATGCCCCCATTTGAGGCTAATAGCACGGTTAGCGCACACATTACTTCAATGCAAAATCCACTGTGGAAACAATGAAAGAAAAAGAAGAGAAAGGACAAATGGAGAATCTGCCGCCCAGATTTGATGAGGGGAAGCCCTTGCCATGCGTGCATGCATCAAGGAAGCGGAGATGTCCCAGCTGCTGAACAGGAAGTGAGAGCTCGGGGCCAAGCCCAAGTGGCACAGCCGGGAAAAGGCTGCACCATCCACTTCCGAGTGTTCTAGAAAACACAGGCTACTCTCGATGGGAGGCAGCCATTGTCAACAAAGCTGGGCAGGCGCCTGTTTCAAAAAGAGCGAAGCTACATACAGGCATCAACTTTCCCCACCTTCCCTTTGCCACTCGAAACTGACCGTGGCAGCCCGAGGACTGAAGTCCAGTGGGACCCCCCGCCTGGACTGCAGTCGCTTGGCAGACGCATACCTTGCAGTGTGTAGTACTGACAGGAAGTCCAACATTGGAAGCTATCACAACTGTGAACGCCGAAGCCAATTCAATAGTGAATCCACTGCAGGGGGCATAAGAAAACACTGCACAGTCATTCTTTGTATCAGTCCTAAGTGACACCGGACAGGGTGCCAGAGTCTTACCAGAATACTCTTTGGTTCAATTGTTTACTGCTGACTGTCCCAGAATCACATTAACAGAAGAAGGGTCTGCTGAATGGAAGCAATGCACACTCATGAATCTGCATCAGCGTGGGGGGAGCTTCCGATCTAGCCTTTCTACTCTGAAAACCATGAATTCATTGGAGCAAACTGTTAGAAGCCACAGGAGCGTGACAAACACAAATAAGGGAGACTTTTTCAATCTTTGGAGGAGTCCTGGTGCTCAGGAATTGTTATCTTCTCCCTTAATAGATCTGTACTTATTAGGAAACCAGTGGACTCCTCAGCTCACAGGGGTTTCTGTAAACCAGATATCTATCAGGACCTTTATTAAAATCGTCAAGGAAAAAGAAATTTATAATTAGAAATAAAAGGAAAATGAAAACCTCTCACATGGTCAACATTCATTCATTCATTCATTCATTCATTCATCGGTTTGTAAATGGTCACCACATTACCGGCTGAGTCACTCACACTGATAACTTGGCACTCACCTGGATGGGGTGATTGGAGTGAGGTCTTTCCCCATTGTCTGGATAACTCTTCTCCCCCAAACCCAGAGACCTGCACAAATTCCAACTCCTCCATAGAACAGCAACCAGACTGGAGTAACTGCTTCTTGTAGTACCCCACCTTGTTGGTAAATAAGCCAGAGAGCTACCAGAGGGCCAATTGCATTACTAGGAGGGGAAAAAAACAATCATCATACACATAAGTTGTATGTGTATACCTCTTCAACCTCATTTCCTAGTCCTACAGTTCACTTTCTAGTGTTTCAGGCCTATCTAAAATAATATTTACTCTTGTAGGGATGATAAATAAAATGATTTTTTTTTGGCTAGGCAATGGGGTGAAGTGACTTGCCCAGGGTCATACAGCTAGCAAGTGTCAAGTGTCTGAGGCCAGACATTTTTTTTTAAAGAAGGCAAACTAGTTATAAAAAGGGGTCATTTTGTTTTAACGAAACTATAGACACAGAAACTAAGAAATGACAGAAGCCACCAAGCCCCAGACATTCTTCCTTCACCATGTCCCTTACAGCTTTCCCTTCCTTTCTATCCCCACTGCGACCACCCAAATTTAGGTCTTAGCACCTGTGGCCATTGCTTCTTAACTAGACTCTACTTCTCAGTTTCTCTGTCCTCCCACTAAAGCTGCCCACCACTGTAAGGTTAATGTTCTTTCGCCATCAGTTGCTTCCCACTACCCACAGGATAAAACCTAACACCTCAGCCCTCCCACCCAGTATCTCTTACTAGCTTTCTTTCCCACTACTCTCTCCTATGCACCCCTCCTTGCAACCTCCACGCCTCTGCTCACCGCCACCCTGGACCCTTACCTGGATCCCTTAGCATGCCTGGCTTCCTTTCAGGCACCTCCTCCTATAGGAGGTGATTTCTGACCCTCTCCCCACCCCCACAGCCTCTCCCTCTTCCTTTATCCTACACCGCCTTCCTCCAGCGAGATCTTGGAGGGGAGGAATGTTTGATTTCTAGCCTCAAGGTTAAGTCCAGGGCCTGGGCTCAGAATCTCCCCTGAGCTGAGCTGAACTAGAGAATCTGAACACAGACATCCATGCTGCTTTTAGTCCTGACTGTCTTTCTGCTTCAGACCAGAAGCCTGGTGGCAAGCGCACAGACCCCAGTGCAGGCAGGCAGGCTCTGGTGCAGCCCGGGGGATGGGTCGGCGTGCCCCCTCTTACACTCACCTCACATCGTTGCCTCCATGGGCAAAGGAGCCGAAGCAGGCGGTGAGGACCTGCAGGAAATGGAAGAGCAGGTGCACTTCGGCCGTGTCCTTCTCCTCCTTCTCCTCTTCGCCGGGGTCCTCGAGGGGCTGGTTGGGGTCGGCGAGCTCCGAGGCCAGCCTCATCTCCACACCACCTTCCTCGGCCTCTATCTCGGCCTCGGCCACGGCGTTGCAGTAGCTGGAGTAGCTGTCGTAGCGGAGCCTCTTCTTAGAGTAGGACACGGCATCGCTCACGAGCTTTTCGCTGTCTTCTGGCGCGGAGGAAGAGTCGGCGGCTTTGAAGGCCGAGTGCACCGGCATCCCGCAGATGGCCGCGGTGTAGCACGTGTAGCTATTGTTGCGGCGAAGCAACTTGTAATTACTTTCTTGCGAGGGCTTCTCGTCAGGCCCCTTGTCAAGGTGGATTTTGTGCAGCAAGTCTTTATAGAGCCCCGAGTCTTTGTGTACAGTGTGATAGACATGTCCGTCGCTTCTCATCTGACTGTCAAACCCAAACGTGCCATTGGACACGGGCGACTTCACGGAGCCATGGGTCATGGAAAGCGCTCTTCCTGAAAGGGTCAAGAAGAACTCTCATTCTGTGCCGAATATAAGCAAACCCCAGAAACTTCTAAATTACAAAAGCATGAAATAATTATGTTTTTAAAAGTACATCAAGTTCCCTTTAAAAAAAAAAAAGGATGCTTCAGGAACCACTGCACTGTGTCCACAGACTAAAGAGGACTGGTAGGTTTGGTGGCACTTGACATCCATGGGGAGAAAACCCAATGACCATGACCTTTACCCTGTTTCCCACTCTGGTGCCTGGATTTTCTCCCCTGCACGTATTTACCAACCTGCTGCGCTGCTCTGCCCTCACTCCCACCCCATCTTACCCAGGCGGTTTTACTTAGATGAGAGGAACCATTCCAGAAGTAGTCCAGTCCTTGGTCTCACCCCAATAAGTCTCAGGGATCCCTGGGAGGCTAAATTTGCCAGCTTTCATTCGGATCTCAGGTTCTCCTCATCTCCTTACTCACATTTTCAGCATTTACACATAGACATCTGAGGACACACGTTTCATTGCCGGATCTTGTCTCCTGTGAATTTCTGGGCCCTTTACCCCTCTTCTTTTTTCTACACTGTAGCTGCTCCCTTGGGTATTTAGCTGGGTGGGTTTATGTGGGTAATTTTCTCCCTAACCCTTCCTTTTCAGTTTGAAAACCTTTTGACTAGACTTGTCCAGGCAAATGCATTTTTCACCAGCCCTTGTTAGGTGTACTCTATGTTTAGCCATGGCTCCTTCATCCTTTTATTTTAAGCTATGGCCCAGCAGTTATGTGTTACTGAAAAGTCTGATCAGCACAGCAAAAGGAGATACTTTTTCACATTTAAGTGACACAGACATTTTACATTCTTTGGGTCAAACTAGTTCTTGACTCTCTCGGTCCCAAGACAGTAACTTTGGAAAGCTGCCCTAGGGACATCCTTCAGCAAGGCCCATGAGGGCCTGGGGAGCTGTGTCCTTGCCTGTCATCCCCAGAGACAGTTGGGAAAAGAATGGTTCTGGTTTTTGACTAGGTGCGATGTTATTTGTCTACCCCATACCTCCAAATACTGGAGGGAAGCCAGCCAAAGGTTCATGAGGAGGATGTACAGAGGAGGATGACAGAGACACAACTCAGCCGGGAATTTCCCTTCATCATGGAAAAACGAGGACTGTTGGATGGAGCACCTTAAATCAGTGGTTTACGCACCAATATTCTTATGGCTGCAGCATAATCTGACTGATGTGGGTAACTCCTTTCACAGATACAGACTGCAACCAGCTCACATACTGAAGCCGTCAGTGGCATTTCTAGAAATGGGGGGCACCCAACCAGAATGAGCAGACTGTGCCCTTTGCTCTTTTGTTCAACTCTCCCTCTGCTAGGCAGGGGCAACCTGGATCTAATTTATGCTTATGGAAAAAAATAAAAGCAGTCCCCGGTAAAGGCTGTCTCTTCTGTTCAGATGCTCCCTTGCTGTGATTCTAGCCACACTTTCCTACACATATTTAATTCTTAAAAACAGCTCCTAATGAGTCACTCCTGCAAGTGAAGAAAACACACATGGCTACCGTGGGTATCATATGGAAGTATACATTGTGTGGCATGGCAGTCTTTGATAACACGACTGGCACAGATCCTTTGGAAGCGGATTCTATCTGTGTTGGGGGAATACCCCCACCCCACCCCAAACACACTCTTAGCCACAGTCCTGCACCTCTGCTTGCTGGCCTGCTCTCCTGAGGATTCTTCTGCCTCTAGATTTGGTAGATGTTGAACTTTAGGGAAGCCATGAAGTGCATCAATGAAACCCCTTACCATAGGGCACTCGCGAGTGGCTTCCATTCACTGTGCCTTCAGACACTCCAGGGGCTTCGGGGGCCGAGCCAGTGAGGGGAACGGTGCTGTCATCACTTGTCTTGGCACCAGGGAGTTCCTTAAATACCGGGGACTCTGCTTCTTGGATTTTATGGAGACTTTCATTAGATACTCTTGACAAGGCACCCTCTTTCTTTAATTTGCCTAAAAAACAGTTAAAACTATAACTTAACCCTTCATAAAGCAAAAAGATCTTCATAAATAAAAAATAATTAACATTTACAGATATGACTTTAAAGTTTGAAAAGTTCTTTGCACACATTATTTCATCTGAGCCTCACAAACAACTCACAACAAAGGTAGGTGTGGCTGTTATCCCCATTTTACAGATGAAGAAACTAAGACTGAGAAATTAGATGACTTGCCCAGGGTCAAAGAGTTAGTAAAGTATCACTCTGAGTAAAAGCTGAGTAAAATTCAGCTCTTCCTAACTCCAAGTCCAGTGTGCTGGACATCCACTATTCCAAGTTGCCTTTAGCCAGATAATGATTCTGACTAGTACTTAAATGTAATTTTACTTTTAAAAATAATATTTTATTTTTTCCCAATTACATATAAAGACAATTTTTAATAGTCATTTAAAAAAATCATGTTCTAAATTTTCTCCCTTCCTTCTTTAGCTCCTTCCCTCCCTGACATAGTAATTTGGTATAGGTTATACATATATAATCATGCAAAACATTTAAATGTAATTTTTAAAAGTGCTCAGTAGTGTTCACACCACAATATGTTTAAAATATGTTTTAAACTGGAGTATGTTTAGTACCTCCTTTGGAGGCCAAGAAAACATTAGCTGTATCTAGATAGGGAAAATGAAGTGTGGAGTTGAAGGCAATTTTACAGACAAACACACACACACACACACACACGCACACACACACGACGACGACAACTTAGGTCTGAAGGAGTTTAAGAACTCAGTTATTCAAACTGGCTCTCAAATTACACTGAACTGATCTGATAATTATCACTGAAATCATTACTCTTTACTGCCATATATTGATGCACGTCTGTTTCCATAGCCATTCAATTGGAGCTCAATAAATTGTTAGTTGAGTGTGTACATGTGTGTGTATGTGTGTATTTGTCTCTGTGTGTGTGTGTGCTCTCAATTTACTGAAAACATGTCAGTCCTTTTCCTTAAGACAAATAGGGAAATGACTTTTGATTTTTATAAAAATTTTCATAATTTAAAAATAATGGGTTTCAAAAAGAACCTGTCCTCAACATATTTATAATCTAGTTGAGAGGACAAAACTTACTTATACATGTAAAACAATTAAAGAACAATATGATAAAGGCACAACAAAGTACCAATGTGTGTAGCAGAGCTAATAAGCACACTTGGGGTCAGGAAAGTGAGAATGAGATGGAACACTGAGTCAGGAAGAGTCAGGGCAAAGATGGGGTAAGTACATGGTAAGTTTATGCATGTATCTTTCTTACTACTTAGCAAAAAGTATTCTAATGCCATATATAAACAATGATAACCTGCTGATTGTTATTACCCATGCTTTATATTCTCTCCACTATATAACTCAAGATTTAAGGGACTGGAAGCTTTTTGGCAATCAAAGTACGCAGGACCTTACCTGCTATCTTCCTCTTCATCCATGGACAAACGACCAACCACACAAAAACAGCAAAGATGATAGCAACGCCAAATGAGACGAGAGCGATTGCCCACATTGGAAGAACCAACCCTAATACTGTGAAATCAAAATAACAACAACACAATATTTAATACATTTTTCCTCAATTAAGCACAAGTAACATATTAATATTTATGCATTTGATTTAACTCAAATATTTATTTAATTTCTACGTGTAAAACACCGTGTTGGGCACTGAGGGAGAGCGTGGTGTAATATGAAGGGCACAAGACTAGAAGTTAAGAGACGACCTGGGATCTACTCTGGTTCTGACGGGAGCCAGCTGTGAGACCTCAGGCAACCTGGTGTAATTTTCTGAGCCTTGGTTTACTCTTTTGTAAAATGAGGCTTGATTTGATGATCTTCTAAGGTTCCTTCCAATTCTTAAGTCCTGGGATAGGGCCAGGGATAAATAACACACTTGGTATCAAGGAGCTTAACAAGCTAGCAAGGTAGAAAAGGTATGTACACAAATAATTATAATAAAAATATAATAACGTAAACGCAGAAAAATGGTACCATATGGAACAAGAGTTCCAAGAAGGAAGAAAAAGCACTTCCAGTCGGGGCACCAGGGAAGGCTTCATGGCACTTCAGCAGGGCTTTAAATAATGTAGGATTTAAAGTCAAAATGGGCACATGATTTAGATATAAAGGCTGATACTATGTAAGCAAACTGGGAAAGCAATGAATAGTTTAGCTGTCAGATCTACGGAGAACCAAAGAATTTATGACCAAACAAGAGATAGAGAACATTATGAAATGCAAAATGGATAATTTTGACTACATTAAATTGAAAAGTTTTTGCACAAAGCCAATGCAACCAAGATTAGAAGGGAAGGAGAAAACTGGGAAAGTATTTTTTACTATTCAGTGTCTCTGGTAAAGGCCTCATTTCTAAAATATGTAGAGAACTGAGTCAAATTTATAAGAATACAAGTCATTCTCCAATTGATAAATGGTAAAGGATAAGAACTGGCAGTTTTCAGATGAAGTAATTAAAGCTATCTATAGTCATACAAAAAATGCTCTAAATCACTATTGATCAGAGAAATGCAAATCAAAACAACTCTGAGGTGCCACATCACATCTATCAGATTGGCTAACATGACAAAACAGGAAAATAATAAATGCTGGAGAAGATGTGGGAAAACTGGAAACTGCATTGTTAGTGGAGTTGGGAACTGGTCCAGATATTACAGAAAGCAATTTGGAACTATGTCCAAAGGGCTATAAAATTGTGCATACCCTTTGACCCAGCAATACCACTTCTAAGTCTGTATCCCAAAGAGATCATAAAAATGGGAAAAGGACCCACATGTACAAAATATTTATAGCCACTCTTTTTGTGGTGGCCAAAAATTGGAAATTGAGGGGATGCCCATCAGTTGGGGAACGGCTGAACAAGTTGTTGGCATATGAATGTAATGGAATATTATTGTTCTACAAGAAATGATGAGCAGGTGGACTTCAGAAAAAACTGGACAGACTTCCACGAACTGATGCTGAGTGAAGTGAGCAGAACCAGGACAACACTGCACACAGTAACAGCCATGATGTGCAATGACTGATTTTGATAGACTTATCTCTTCTTAGCAATGCCAGGATCTAAGACAACTCCAAAAGACTCATGATGGAAAATGCTGTCCACATCCAAAGAAAGAACTCTAGAGTCTGAATGCAGATTGAATGAAGCATACTATTCTCTCTCTCTCTCTCTCTTTTTTTCCCTTTACTTCTTCTTTCTCATGGTTCCTCTCACTGGTTCTAATTCTTCTTTATAACATGACTAATTTGAAAATGTTTAATATGAATGTGCATGTAGATCCTATATCAAATTACGTGCCACTTTAGGGTGGAGGGAGGGGAGAAACGGGGAGAAAATTTGGAACTCAAAATCTTATAGAAGTGAATGTTGAAAGCTAAAAATAAATAAATTAATTTTTAAAAAAAGGCAGGATTTCAGGAGGTGAAGATGATAGAGAGGAATAAGCCACGAAGAGGAGATGACTTCAATACTGGCATGAAGAAATGGAGGCAAAAACCACTTTGGGGAAACAATGGGTGGTACAGTTTGGCTAAAACATTAAGTAAGTGAAGCATTAATTTTATGACGGAAAATAGTGTGAGGTCAGGCTAGGAAAGCAGGCTTTAGTTAAAGTATAGCGGGCAATGGATGGCAAGCAATGAGCTTGGTCCTCATCAGGTGGCTTGTACAGCATGACGTGATCAGATCTGCCCATCAGATGAGTCTGGCAGTGCTGTGTAGGATGGACTGGAGAACAGAAAGAACTATACAGGGAGGGAGACCAGCTGGGAAGCTATGATTGTAATGTGGGTGGAAGGGAATGAGACACTTGCCTAGAGTGGTCATATGGACAGCGAAGGGACAGATCCAAGTGATAGTCTGTAGAGTTAATCAGGAGAACCTGACAAACACATGTAGAGGCAAAAGAGAAGGAGTCAAAGATGACATAAAAGCTTAAAATAGGATTAAGAGAGAGTCTCATTAACAATAATAAGGCAGCTATTAGTATTAATAACAGTATTACTAACAGTAATAGTGTTGCTAACATGTAACCCTGGGCAAGTCACTTAACCACTATGTACCTCAGTTTTCCCATCTGTAAAACAGGGATAATAATAGCACCTATCTCCCAGGGTGGTTGTGAGGCTTAAATGAAATAATATTTGTAAAGCCGAGAGCCTGGCACATAGTAATAAATGACAAATGTTATTTTATCATTTTACTTATTTATATTATTTAAATTAGTTAGTACCCCTAACAGAGAAGTTGGGTAGAGAAATAAGTTTTTTTTCTGGGCAAGGTAACACTTGGTTTTGGGAAGCATGAAGAGTGACCAAACTCGGCATACAGGTAGAAATGTCCAGCAGGTAAATGAAAATACAGAACAAACTCAGAAGGCCAGAGGTAGAGGGACAAATCTGATTTTTACCCATAAGGAATTACAGCTGAAAATGCAGACGTATGTGCCATAGCCCAGGAGGAGAATATAGAGAAAGAAGAGAAGGGGTGCTAAGGAATGCCTATGCATTCTAATAGCAAACGGATGGAAGAGCAGGAAAGAGAGGTAAGAGGAGAGACATCAGAGGGTGGCTTCAAGGAGGGACTGAGGGAGAGAGTGACGCTGTGAAATGCTAGAGGTGAGTCAAGGAGGACAAGTGGAAAAGGCCACTGGATTACCGACAAAGCATGTCAGCAAGAGACAGAAAAAGAAATTCCATTTAAAATAACCATACAATATAAAATACTTGGGAATACCTGCTAAGATAAACCCAGGAACTATATGAACACAATTACAAAAAACTTGTAACACAAATAAAGTCAGATTTCTAAACAACCGGAAAAATGTTAATTGCTCACGGGTAGGCTGAGCCAATATAATAAAAATTACAGTTATACCTAACTTAATTTACTTATTCAGTGCTACATAAATCAAACTACCAAAAAATTTCATACAGCTAGAAAAAATCATAGCAAAATTCATCTGGAAGAATAAAGAGTCAAGAATATCAAAGGAATTAATGAAAACAAATGTGAAGGAAAGTGGCCTTAGACATACTGGATCTCAAACTATTATTATAAAGTGGTAATCACCAAAACCATCTGGTACTGGATGAGAAATAGAGAGATGGATCAGTAGCAATAGATTATGTACACAAGACCCAGTAGTTCAGGACCATAGTAACTGAGTATTTGATAAACCCAAAGACTCCAGCTTTTGGAAGAACTCACTCTTTGACAAAAACTGCTGGGAAAACTGGAAAATGGTATGGCAGAAACTAGGTACAGACCAACATCTTACACCATATATCAAGATAAATCAAAATAAGTACATGATTTAAACATAAAGGACACATTAGGAGAACAAGGAATAGTTTACCTGTCAGATCTATGGAAAAGGGAAGAATTTATGACTAAATAAGAGATAAGGATCATTACTAGACGCAAACTGGACAATTTTGATTATATTAAATTTAAAAAGTTTTGTACAAACAAAACCAATACAACCAAGATTAGAAGGAAAGCAGAAAGCGGGGAAACAATTTTTACAGCAAGAGTCTGATAAAGGCCTCATTTTTCAAATGTATAGAGAATTGAGTCAAATTTATAAGAATACAAGTCATTCCCCAACTGACAAATTGTTAAAGGATATGAACAGGCAGTTTTCAGATGACGAAATCAAAGTTATCTATAGTTATATGAAAAAATGCTCTAAATCATTATTGATTAGAGGAATGCACATTAAAACAACTCTGAAGTACCACTTCACACCTATCAGATTGGCTAATACAACAGAAAAGGAAATGAATAAATGTCAGAGGGGATTGTGGGAAAATTGGGACACTAATACACTGCTGGTAGAGTTGTGAACTGATCCATTTTTTTTTTTTGAGGCAAGCGGGGTTGAGTGACTTACCCAAGGTCACACACCTACTAAGTGTCTGAGGCTAGATCTGAACTCAGGTCCTTCTCACTCCAGTGCCAGTGCACTACCCACTGTTACCACCTAGCTGCCCCAATCCAATCATTCTTCCTTTTTTTTTTTTAAAGGCAATTGGGGTTAAGTGACTTGCCCAGGGTCACACAGCTAGTGGGTGTTATATGTCTGAGGCCAGATTTGAGCTCAGGTCCTCCTGACTTCAGGGCCGGTGCTCTATCCACTGTGCCACCTAGCTGCCCCAAATCCAACCATTCTTGAGAACAATTTGGAACTATGCCCAAAGGGCTACAAAACTGTGCCTTTGATCCAGCAATGTTACTACTGGGTTTGTATCCCAAAGAGATTTTTTAAAAAGGAGAAAGGACCTATTTGTACAAAAATACTTACAGCAACTCTTTTAATGGTAGCAAATAATTGGAAATTAAGGAGATGACCACCAACTGCGGAACGGCTCAATAAGTCGTGATATATGATTGTGATGGACTATTACTGTGCTATAAGAAATGATGAGCAAGATACTTTCAGAAAAAACATGAGAAGACTTATATGAACTGATGCAATGTGAAATGAGCAGAATCAGGAGAAAATTGT